GGTAATGTTAAAACATTTGCCTACGAATTTTGCGCTGCGTCACAGTGTATCGTGATGTGATAACTACAAAGTTGATTGGCTGCATGCTTGGCATTGCAATTTAGAAGCATGAAGGCATTTTATTTATTAAAATCCAGGGTACTGTATCCTGCTGATACAATGCGTCATTAATGACGTCAATACTGTGAATTGAATTCCAGCGTCATATGTTGGCATTTCCAGCGGTCTACACAATTGTTTCTATGGGCGCGGTGGCTTTTGTTAGCTGTAGAGAGCTGTATAGAGGGAATCTGTAGGTCTCTGCGGCCCGAATATTCCAATTACTATCCCCATGATATACTTTTTCCAGAGCAAAGAAGCCGCCGGGCTCAAAGAAACAAACGCGAGCCGCGATGAAAAATTTGCGTGGTACTGATTGGCTGGCCCTGTCCTTAGTGCTGAAACCGTGCTACCAACTGTTATGATGGAATGCCGCCACGAAAATGCTCCCTGAATCGCACTATAATCGTTTCTTGCTCAAAGCTGGGAACTTACGAATAGGAATGAACCAACGTGAACCTTGATGTGGAGTTAGATCATGTAGAAGTAGCTCTAATTTAGTCACGTTTCCTTAAACTCTGTCTGCAGCGTACGGCCCCTGTAGCGTACCGGGAGAAAAGCTCCAAGCCAATACTGTGAATTCCTGCCTCCTATTGTGACATTTCTAGCGGTCTGCGTGTTGTATCCATGAGCACGTTGGTTTCTTTTAGCTGGATGAGCTGTATTAGGGGAGGGCTTTGTGCGAAAATAGTTGCATGTCCCAACTATCCCCTGATATATACCTGTCCCAGGGAAAGAAGCCGCCGCGATCAAAGAAATAAACGCGAGCCGCGAGAAAAATCTGCGTGGGGGTATACTTACGTCTAGTAATCCTTGGTGCTGATTGGCTGGCCCTGTCCTTGGTGCTGAAACTGTGCAACCAACTGTTATATGATGGCATGCCGCCACGAAAATGCTCCCTGAATCGCACTATAATCTTTTGTTGCATAAAATTGGGAACATAAGAATTAGGTATGAAGTGCTAAGAACCCTGAGGTGGAGTTAGAACATGTTGAAGTAGCTCTAACGTTTAGTCACAATCCCCGAGGGACTTTGCCGGGGAGAGACGTTTTCGCCGCCTACGGTTTTTAGGTGGCGAAACCGTCTCTCCTGGCAAAGTCCCTCGGCGGCAAAACCGTGCCTCTCTGGCATAACTCGCGTCGCTCCCCGAAACATTACCCCAGAAGTCTTTCCCTGGGTGCCTGACAAGTTTACGGGCTCCGTTGGGCAGCCAGAAGCCCTTCGCCCAGCGCCAGCCGACCTAAATGACCGCTGCGGTGGAGTTGAGTCTGTGGGGAGTATGTAGGGCCAGCCAAAGTCCCCCGGGGTAGACTTCTCCGCAGCGGTAATTTAGACAGGCGGCCGAATGGCTCTTGGCTGCCGAAGGAAACGTCTGGCGGCCCGAAACGAGTTTGGCTTCCATGGTACAGAAGTCTGCGAAGGAGGCTAACATTCCCCAAACTCTTTCCCCGCAGCGTTCGACTCCTGTAGCGTGCCGGGAGAGAAGCGCCAGGCCTGCGGGAGCTGGAGCACCAGCGAGCGGGAGTGTCTCGACATGGGCTGCTGCTACCGCTCGCCCTTCGGCGTCCCTAACGCACCCTGGTGCTACCAGAAAGCTTCGGAAATGGAAAGTACGTTCAAACTGAGCTGTGGCGATTGTAGCAGGGCTTCTCTTTAATACTTGTTGCATGGGCTATATACATAAGACGGCAAGCACTAGTCACCATGCATGGCTACTTGCATACGTACTTCAAATAGTTTAGGACAAAAATCTTCATTTTCCAACAGTGGGCACTTCTATCTAGATTAGACTTAATCGTACTGCTAACTGGTTTGCAAATGATTTTATATGCGTTTAAAAATTTCCGTGATGGAGTTTTATTTATTTTTGTTATTATTTATTTTGTTGTTATAGAGAAATATATAATTGATCATGTGATTTTGTGAATATTTTTTTTGTCTTTGTTCATTCATTCTTTATTCAAACAATGGTCAACATGGCAGCAGTACATATATAAACAAAGAACGTTATGGTCCTTTCGCAACTGTTTCACAACTGTTAAATATTCTTCCAGCCAACAACTGGTTTCTGCCATCCTCATCTGAAGAGGACAGTAGTGAGGAGATGGACCCAGACAGGGACACTGCTGTTGACTTGGGTAACAGTGACTGGCTAATCCATTCCTCTGAGAGATATCATTTGTTAGATAAGTTTTATAATATGATGACCAAATACAAGGACACTAATATTTGCAGACTGCCTAGAAATGAAATTAAAATGGTGCAGTTTTTTTTACTTTGTGTGACTATTTTTTTCTGTCCAGGATCAATTCTGGACTGGATGATGGGTAACACTGATGATAAACCCTCTGGGAATGAAGACACTGTGAGTAACAAAAGACTATTACATCAAAACTAGCATGTGTACATGTGTTTTAAGTACATACAATGTTTATTGTTAGTAGTCGATAACACCAAGAAACCAATGTTTCTTGTGTGCTTATTGCACAGTGTCACTATCACAGACATACAAAACCCTCACGGTGATTTGCAACCTAAATTCAGGTATTACCTTGAGCATTACATTTTAATTTATGTTGTTATGATTTACAATAATATGTATTGTGATGGTATATAAACCATTTAGCATGTAGTGGAGATGTATTGAACTGAAACACAATACTTAATTTATGTCCTATTGACACATGATATTGTTCTTTCTGCATGACAGGAGGACCCTCCTGCCAGTCCTCACCACAGTCCTCACCACCGCTCACCTGATGATGATCATACCCAGCACGGTGCCCCTGACAGGCATGGTCTGATGCCTCCTAACCTTCACAGGGACCCAAGTAACCCAAACTGTGACAATCCTCTCCATCGTGGTGACTCAGGTAATCCTTCTCCTCGATATCCTGCACCAGAGACTCCCCATCATGCCCCCAACAATCCTCCCCATCATGCCCCTGAAACTTCCCATCATGCCCCCAACAATCCTCCCCATCATGCTCCTGAAACTTCCCATCATGCCCCCAACAATCCTCCCCATCATGCCCCTGAAACTTCCCATCATGCCCCCAACAATCCTCCCCATCATGCCCCTGAGTCTCCCCATCATGACACAAAAGACGAATCCCATCCCCAGCCAGCCTCTGGTCGCCAGCCCCTTCCTCGCAACCATGCTCCTCCAGCCAAAACCCGCCCCCCTCACCACAAGGAACCAAAACAGAAGACACCACTCGACTGCCATCATGACATAATGTGTGCCTTAGTACCAATGGAGCTTGGAGAAGGTGAAGCACTTTCAAGTCTCCTTTATTTCTTTGCTGCTCTGATCAATATCAACAGTAACAAAGATCTGATGCATCTACTGTCATTTCTTACAGAATGATGTGGATATGTCCTGTCATGTAATGCATTTTTCTATCCCCCACAAGATTTGAATATTAGAATGAAAGCTCTTCATGTAGTCAAATTATTGTGCAAAATACTGAAATCTGCAAAAATGTGTTACATCTTCCCATTACAGACGTGATCAACGCCTATCCAGAAGACCCAAAAGTGGCTGCCATCTACCGTGATCTGGCCTGGTCCATCCCTGTCCTCTTCGTGGTGATGCTCATCCTCTGCACCTGTCTGTGCAGCTGCAACTGCTGTGGATTGACCAAGCCTCCTCCGGATTACGTCGAGCAACTGGAATCCGACGTTACTGGAGATGAAAAGGGGCCACCTGCAACGTTTGCGGTGGAGGCAGAAGTGGAAGGGAATGAGAAGATCCCACCGGTCGTGTACGTGGAGGCTGGCGACTATGAGGACCCCTGGAGCGCCCGTGTCGATGCCGTCATGAGCCCTGCTCAGCTGAAACAACTGATGGCCAACATCCAGCAGGAGAACATCATCAAGGGATAGTGACCAAAACCAACCCCATGTTCTAAAACAAAATCAAAATTGTTCAAGAGCTTGACTATTAGGACATGACATGGAAACACTTTGCATGTAGTGCTTTTCAAATCACTGGGCAAACCTGGTAAATGTAAAATTAAGATAATTCAGATGCAGGTTTAATTTATTACTTATCATCTCTATCAATAGATTATGGTATTCAAGTTCAAAGGTGGATTAAAGTGAAATCATTTCAGATGACCATTGGTCTTGTTAACTGTGGAATTTGTAAAACTTTCTGAATCTTGTATTCTTATAGAAACTACAAATGCAAGCACATTAAGAGATTCATCAAAATTAATACAGCCAAGAAGGTTTGAATCTTCATCTTTTAAAACCTCCTTGGTATAGTCAGCATTAACATACAAGCAATGAAGCATGACATTTGACAACTCTAGACACTTCACATATACCTGTATTCAAATTTCCACAAAATACATGTACATTTTACATTGGTACAGAAATACTTCGAGTGTTTACAGAGAATGGCTGATACCAGGGTATTCAGCACAGATCTTGGAATACACAATAAAGAAATCAATGTACAAAGTGAGGCTTCTATCCTTTTTTGCAAACTGGACAGATACATGTAAGCTTTAAAACTTCCTTGTATTCTCTAACTGGTGACAGGTTTGTTGTTTTGACCAAGGGAAAATTGACATTATATATCGTTGCCCAGCTGGTACATGTATATGGCACACATTGGTTACATATTAGGTTTCTGAGATTTTTGAGAAATGTAGAAATGTAGTGTAGCTGGACATAGCATTTTTGTCCACTACATGTATCAATAGTCCCCAAAACAGTTGGGCAGGACTCAGATTTATCCACTGAACATCCCTTTGAAACCATTCGAATTCAAGGCAGTAGCTTTACTGGATGTATTTTCTAACAATGCTACATTTTCCTTGGCTAATTGTTACAATCTTTTTGCCATTTCATACAAAAACTGATTGGTCCCTAAAATCCACACACATCTTTGATACAAAAATACAGCCTAAAATTAGATGACATATACATGAACATGTAATGCACTTCTAGTATAGACACAGAATGGGTAAACAGGCACACACATTTCAATACAGTAGCTATAATCTCCCAAATATGGGATAGTCTTGCAAAATTACATCAAATTGACAGTTTATTTTTGGGCATTTCGACAAAAGATCGTCTTTGTGGTAATTGTCTACGAAAGGCATTAAAATTTACCCAACATGGGTATTCACATTCAATTGGTAAATGTGTGCAATTATGTGCAAATAGTGACGTACAACTTTAAACATCTACCACTGTATACATCACATCACAGCCTTCACCAATTTTTAATACTTTAGGAAACAGCTACTTCATTGACATTCACACATTCACCTTGTTCCATCTTCATCAATATTCAATAGTTCAGAATTGCTAAAAAGATTTTGATAGTAGCTATATGGAAATTATTGTGACAGTCTTTCTGAACCAACACTACTATAATTTTTTTTCACGCGACATTTTTATCAAGAAGAAGATTTAACGTTACATATTAAGGACAATTTCCATTTGTATGTTAAAAGTTATTCTATGGTATGGACAATATGCAACAATGTATCTTAGGGTCATTTACCACATTGATTTCATGGATGAAACTGACAGAAACTTCCACATCAAATAGCATATCACTGGAAAAATTAGATATGTCATAACTTACACAACAAAAAATCAATTTCTCCACATTTAACAATGCCAAACTTCTGTATTTCACTTCTGAATCAATAAATATTCTTTTCTCTGTGGCCATTGGCACAATGTTGTCTCTGCTTTTTTCTACTAGCCAATGTTTACTTCTGGGTCACCATTTCAAATTGCTTTTTAGCTTGTTGATTTTGCTTGTCAAGTGGTTTCAAAATCCCCACAGAGGGTTCCCCTTCATCTCCATAGGAGGAACTGCTTCTGCTTCTGGGTCCCCTGAAACAGAAAGGACTTGTTGTTAAAAAGAAAACAGGACTGCCAATTCAAGTTGTTATTCTCTACAAACTATCCTGACAGCAATGTTTTGTCTGGTACAGCAAAATTAATTGGACCAGTTGCACACATGGGGCATATGACCATGATGATAATATGTTTAATGAAAAAAAATATTTTCAACAGTTCTCAATTACGATGCCATTTACCTTGATGTCATGTCTGTAGGTATAAGGTAAGGTTTTTGCTTTTGGTGTTTTCAGAATGATGTTGATGAGCCAGATACTTACCCATCTGACGCCAGCCTTGAGGACCTCCCATGTAAACATGACCCTGAGATGTCGTCTCCACTCCGGGTTCCTCTTGATGAGAATGTTTCCCACGATGCTGTCTCCCCCCTCCACCGCAGTGGGCTGGTCCATCATGAACAGATCTTGCTTCCAATGGGTCATCCTGACAACAACAAATTTTGAAATTTTAATTGAAAACCTTTTTAGAGATATTTTTTAGAGATAGATGGCACATTTACAAATCTACAGTTAGCAAAATTATGTAACATAAGACCTGCGGTATACCTGTTGAATTTACATCAGATGCGGTTCTTACTATGGTATGATAGCTCTTTTTCTAAGGCTCTTTTTTTTAAATCAGTGGAGATGATGATCACAACATAATCATGTAAAGATTGGTACCTAAAACCTCTGAGCCAAAAGATACAACTAGTACAAAGGGTTCAATTCTAATGGCTATATATATATATGTACAATGTATTTAACACCAATAACACTGGATAAAACTGGTAACACTTTCTGACTTATATGTGTGTACATTACATTATGTTATCTTGTGAATCTTTTCTATCTGTATTTTCCCCTTGTTGACATCGTTCTGACTTACTCATGTTCTGGTCCAGTATTCAACACCACCGGTGGCTCTGTGGAAGGAAATCCTCCGAAGTCCACACTGAACCAGGAGGCAAAGCCATGGAACGTTCCCTCTCTTGTCACCTGGAACTCAAAATCCTGGGAAATCTCCTGAAAGAAAAAAAAAGAGATATCAGAACCTTTGGCTATACAAAATGCTATGTGAAAGTAACATGCAGTCAATGGCTTAATTCTGGCATCCATACATGTCAGTATCCAAATTTTTGGGGTGACCAGTGTTGTCATGGTAGCTGTACATTTGAACTTGTTAAAATAATTGACAGAATTGACATTAAAGTGACTGTTTTCTTCTATATTATCAGTATCATGTTGGTATCTCTGCTTCTGTTATCAAGACACTCGACTTTAAAACATTGCATGCTCAGGTGTCAAATCTCTGGTGTCTTCTCAAATTTGAAATGACCTGTGTTGTATACAATCTATACTACATGTACAAATGTAAAACTGTTGTGTTGTTGCTTGGGCATTGTGAACATGTACATGTACACTAATGGATTATTTTTCAATGAATCTAAACATGAGGAAATATGCCTATAACGGTTGGCAATGCCTATCTACTGTGACCATCTCTTTAAGTCCTTTAACTTAAGTGGTCACTATTGACACAGTATATATTTGGCCTTACCTCTAGCTCCTCCACCCTGAACCTCTTCATGTCCATGACTAACACAGTCTCCCACTCTGCCAGACAGTCCTGCACACTCAGCTCATGGTTGAAGATGGGGCGGCCAAAAAACTCCTTCTTAGCTGATGGACTGTGAAAAAAACAAGTATGATAAGATTGGAAATATTTCTTTACATGTTAACATGTTACTTGGGTGATGAGTAATATTATACCTGTGCTTGATGTTGTTAACTGTAATATACTGTATTAGTCTGTGCACATGCATTGTACATCTGTGGTCATGATTTTCTGTCATGCATACAGAAAAGACTAACTAAAATTCATTTATACTTGGCAAAGGAGTAACTGGTAACATATTACAGGCATTACTGATATGGTTGAGCATGCTTAAGTAAAAAAAAAACTTTTCTCAGCAAATCACATCCAAAAATCATACATGTATATGTCACAACAATATTGTACTTGAAAATTAATATGCAAAAATTGTCCCAACATCAACCACTAAATTTACACAAACTTACATGAGTGGTGAGAAGTCAAAACCGTACTGATCTTCCCAGCATGCAATTTTCTCATCATACTGCTTCTGAGCGCGGCAGGGTACGAGGTAGAGTTTGGCGTGGGACGGCCACATCACCCCGCCTTTGGCCAGGAACTTGTCTCTCGCGATCAGCACCGATTCTACCATCAGTTCAAACTACAGAGCGGGCCAATGAAAAAAAGGAAATCAAAATTCACCACATGTACAGAAAACAGAACCAGTATTAAATACAACTGGATACAATCTTCAAGCTTTCAAAACATTCACTGCCATTCATCTTAAAGTTTTGACATACATGCAGTCATATGTCTGTCGTACCATCTGGCTCAATGCCCAAAAGTGGTCATTTTTGCTTGGCGCTGAGTGAATTTAAGAAGCAGTTTGAACTATACATTGACACATGAATGGTTTCAAACATTAAGATATCTTTTTATACAAAAATGATATCATATCTAACAGTGGACAATGCATGGTTTAATGTCTCATCCTAATGACTGCAACCCTTTTATGTAGTGTGCATGCCAGGTGAGTGACAACAGCTGGGATTTGAACTCCCAACCACTTGTCCTTACCAGCAGCAGTGTCCCCATCCACTCTGAGATGATGAGGTCGACCTTCTCTGGCAGTGTGATGTTCTCCACCCTGTTGTGAATGACCTTCACCACGTCCCAGTAACCATTATACAGCATCGGCTTCTTTGCCTTGTCTGCCATCCGACTGGCTTCCACTGCATAGATCTACATCACAACAACAAGTCATGTCTTCAGGATAAGACTGCCGATCTCTTAGATATAACTGTCATGAATGAAAGAGAGTTAATGGCCAATCAGCTCCAAGAATATAGGAATTCAGTAATTGGTCATTTTGTATAAGCTGATAACCAATCAGCACCATGGACAGTGGTCCAAAGGTGAGGAGCAGCTAGCAATATACAATTGTAGTTGTGTTACCCTACAAAGGACATTTGACAACAATATTTGTAAATTTTTTTCATGCAAACACTGATCCAACATCTGCTTCATTGCCTTATAAGACAATCATTATTAGCATGTGCACAGACAATGGCTTCAGGCAAAAGACTAACAGACAACAATGCCTAAAAATTTTTTAATTTTGCAATGACTTTTATCAAAGCCTCTTTCACATAAAACCTATGATTTGGGGAGGAGGTTATGAAAAACGTAAATGTCATAGAATCAAGAGAGGTGAACACAATTAACATTATGTATGATCCAAGTGGAAAACTTTCTGTTGTTAACCTATAATTGTGTACAAAGGGGGCTTGAATTGTCATATATGGGTACCTTATGTCGATAGGCTTGTTACCTTTTTTGGCTGCGCAAATTGTGCACAGAACAGACTAAGGCCGCCAAGACCACAGCAAAGCTCCTTTAGCTTATTCTTCACGGCCAAGGATGAGCAAAAAGGAAGAAAAGAAGGAAGGAAGGAAGAAACAAGAAGCATTATGTAAATTGAGGCAGTGTAGTGGCTAGGCAAGAAAGTGGGCATAGTTGTGAGTCAGTTTTGGTCAGTTTGCCAATCAGCATCGAGTATATAGTAGCCGATGAGAAAAAAAAGGAGACATTGCGTCACACAAGATAGCATGGTCACCACAGCTTTATGTTTCTTCCTATACTCCATATAGCATCGACAATAAAACTTGTGATTATTGATGATTGGAAGACCAAAAACAAGAAGACCTTATAAAGCAACTTTAAACTGTAATTTCTGACACAAGAAATTGGATGTACACAAATTTTTGACTGTACAACTCCAGGCAAAGAATGAACAATCCACCACTTCTGCATGTACGTCCAATTTCTTGTGTTGGAAATTACAGCTTAAACTTACTTCTACCAACACAGATGAACTTTTAAGATAAGACTATAACCTTATTTGGTCTTCCGTATCTTGCGCAGAAGAGACTGAGAATGCCCGTCCCACAGCCCAGGTCCATGATGACCTTGTCCTTCAGGAATTCTGCATTCCTCTCGATGGCCGTCCTGTAGGCCAGAGTTCGCGGCTTGTCATTCAGCATCTCCAACTGAAGTTTCTGTGTATGAGTTGAAAGTAGTTATTTGGAAGATACAGGTACTCTATAATGTCCTTTCTGAAACTATGTACATGCTGAACTAAGAATTATGTAGTTTCTCTTTTTGATTCAACTTAAAATAACTTATAAGTGAAATATTTTCAAATTTACATTTTGATAATGATAAATATATGTAGATGTAGTATCTAGAAATAATCATTAATTACAAAAAGCTTTCAATAGTATCTGAAAGTACTGAGCATTTAGGAAATAATTCTTTAATGGAATACCAGTGTCCTTCTGTTTAAGCATCTAATATAAGTGCATCTTGCATGAGATTTAACTTTCAGCTTGTTAAGCTAGCCATCTGCTACTAAATTTGTATTGGTTATGGATTTATGCAGCAAAGAGAAGGTTGAAAAATAACTCAGATCCTTACCAAAGAAGAATAGGAGCCAAAGTACTCCTCATCTTGCCAGAGTTCACTTTCCAGCTCCTCCAAGGTCTTGGGGCTGACGTGATTGACAGGTATGTAACCATAGCAACCATTAAGCTCCGCCCACCACCACTCTTCACTGTTCTTGGAGATGACATGGATTTGGTCCCCTCTCTTAAAACTCAGCTGTATGTGAACATGACATTAACAAAAAACTACATCACAAGCATGTCCTACATGTATCTTGACAGTTGTGTTGTAGTCAGATCAGTACCAAGGACAGGGATGGTACACAGCATTAAGCATATACCACAGCCTGACTATACTAGTGCATTGTTGATTCAAAATGTAAAATTTCTTGACTTGACACATGTAAAATTTCTTGACTTGACAGTTGTAGTCTCATCAGTACCAAGGACAGGGATGGTACACAACATTTAGCATATACCACAGCCTGACAATACTAGTGCATTGTTGATTCAAAATCAAATGATGTCTCAATGAAAGACACGTCAAGACTGAATGACAATTCAGCAATTCACATGGAAAATATATTGGCTTGATTGATAACAGGAAAAGAATTTTGTAAAAGTTTTGGTTCACCAGTCAATAGCTGTAAAAGGTCATTTGTTAATGAGTCTTTCGTTTCCTCTTATGTTGCATAGCTGGTAATGCTTGCAATCAACTTACTTTCTAATGCAAGGTCCATTCTTAGATATTATTGGTGCATATCATACATGTACTAAAAGGTAAATATCATATTTGTGATACCCACCTGGTTATTATCCAGTGCAGTGAAGCTGTCGAGAGCTGTCACAATTTCATCTAGAGCTGCTTCAACATCTGGTGGCTGCTGTGAATCAGACTCTGGTCCATTCTCCAACACCTTGGTATCTGTCTCTAATGTTCTTTCATGTTGGTCTTGGTGCTCATTACCCTGTAGCCCATCCACTTCAGTTTCAACAGAGTCTTTGGTACCTTTTCCTGAAGACTGGCATTCATGGTTTTCCCCTCTAAATGGCTCAGGTTCAAGTTCAGAACCTACATCAGTAGTATCAAACTCCGAAATGGCACTGGCTTCATTATTTGGCACAGAATTCCCCTCTCCTTTGCAGGTACTCAAGCCAATATTTTTGTCCGATTGCTTGTTATTACCCATGAGATTTCTGTAAGAAGTTTCCTCTGGTTCACAATGTCCATCCTTACAGCATGTTGTAGTTGGTTGGGTTGATTCAGGCTGGTTCATTTCAGTAAGAGAAGACACAAGTTCATCTGTGCAGAAACTGTCTCCTTCTGCATCCTTTCTGAGAGATGGCACGGCGCCGTTTAGCTGCAGACATCTGTCGTTCTTGCAGAGTCTTCCTTCCTCGGATGTGGACGATATTTCTTCACTGCAAACAGCCTGCAGCACAATCTTCACCCTCCTCCATTATTTGGGTCATGTGTCACATTGCTACTTTATAGACAACATAACCTCTTTTCAGAAGTACCCTCTGTACAACTGCTCTTCTTCAGTCATTCCTGCAAATAGAAAAAAAAATGTGAAAAATTTCACGTAGGATAACACTACAAACTACTTGATACATTGTTATCATTTTGCTCTACATTCAAAATCTGCCTGTATAAATATAGAAGAGACCTACTCCCTATTGAATTTCAAATTTTTATATGAGCTAAATAAATAAACATTACCTGGTCCAGCAAAAATAGCTTGCGGCGACACTTGTGTCAAATGAAAACTGAACCCACAAATGCTCTTCAGATAACGTTACATGTAATTGTGAGCATACCATATCATAGCAAGTGTGCCCTGCTCGTCCTCTCTGCATATAGTACACACAATTTGGGTTCTCCCAGATAAGAAGAAACTAACAGATGTTACAGGACTGAAATAAATGAGGCTGTCACAGCCAGATCAAGTGGCATTAGAGTAAGATAAGTGATGGCCACGTGTCAAACATGGCGCCCAGGCCAGCGATAAAGATATCCTAACAAGGAACTGATCTCTATTTGGACCCTGACCTCAAATTCTGCCACTGGCCATTTTACGACATGGTCGTAAGAAACACTTATCTTATAATACCCAACACTTACATTTAGTTCAACTGAATTAGAAGTAAGTGTTAGTTGATGATTTTGCTAATATAAATTTTTGTTAACAGTTAACTGATTTGATTATGAATGAAATTACAAATGTACAAAGTATAGCTCTAGGACATGGACAGCAATAAAGTTTTATTAAAATAACTGCTGGATCCAGGATAATTTGAGCTACAAATTTAATAAAAAAGCTTATTAATAAGCAATTACTGCAGCATCCTGCTATTCATAATTACTGAAGCTTGTTAGATACCACCAGAATAAATAATGTAACAATTATCTTATTACACATGTATTGCATCCTTGATTAAAGGTTTGATGAAATAAAGCTAAGCATAATTGATGAGTAGATTGTGATGTTGATGTGAGTGCGTGAGGACCCCGTGACTGTCTGGAATTATAGAGCTCGTTTGTCATCGCAGCAGATCTACAGAGGGTAGAGGGTTACTGCGATATATTTGGCTTCCTACATTGCAGCTATCTTAGGCCATACGAATGACATTTTATGGTTCATGAACCTTCAAGAGAATAGTTTTAAGGGCACTTTCTTTGGCAATTCAGTCTATTGTAGACTATCTGGGTCGCGCCTCTGGTTACCTCTCATGTGGCTTGAAAGTCTGGCCTTGGTTTTGCAGACCCTGCTGCTGAGTGCTGTGTAGTTAAAGGTGCAGTTTGTGCTGCAGCCTTAAGGGCACTAACATGTATAAAAACTCATGAACTGTTAAATTTGCAGCCATTGTCAAGTTATTTTAATTTCTATCCTAAAATATGATTTTTCATGACATTTCATCCTCAATTCATTTTGTGGCAGGCTGAAAAATATGTCTCCTTGTATCCCTTATATGATTAGAAACAACAGTAATTGTTGTATCATACAGAAAAGAAAATTACTTTCTTGGAACTAACTTCATTGAAGTGCACAATTCCTAGTAAATTGAATAGAGCAAAGAACAAAATTTCACCCAAGCCTTGAAGGTACAGGGCATGATGCCAGCTGAATATCTGATACGGGATCAATATTGCCAAGAGTTACAAGACCATATCATGGTTTAGATTTTTATACAGTTTTATGCCCTTTTGGACGTTTGAAAGACTATTTAAGATGACTTAAAAGATTTTAAAATTTAAACCCAAATGTTAGGATTACCTAATTAAGGTCCTACTGATGCATTGTAGTTACAATCAGAGTGGTTTTATTTTCAAGGAAATTGCAACTGTCTAATTATAAAAAGTACATAATAATTAGCTTAATGATTAAAGCAATGATATGAAAATCAGAAATTAATACAGCAAATAAACAATTTCCTTAACCTTTGAACTACACAGATTAAGTCATTGAGGCATCATTGAGTCAAAACATATCTACAGACACCAGGGCCTTAGATCGTACTTAAGACAATCCCACAACAATAACAACAATGAAATTAACATAAAAACAATTAGCTAGCCAGTCTGCAGGGAATTAAGCGACCTACCCAGCTGGTTGAATGTTGCTGTCCAACTAGATGTTCAGCCTGATCACAAAAATTATCACGCACGAAGGCTACGCCTAGCTAGAGATGATGGAGGTCCTATTGTCTAATCATGTGGCGCGAAATTTATTAGTCTGGGCTTCATGATTTGTGGGGAGGGGGGCACAAAATAACGTTAGAAGGTTACTTTTACTTACTGGGAGCGTATCTCTTCTATTAACAATCATCTTGGCAGCAGCATGACATTCTCCTATAGCAGCGCACCATTATTGATTTGTGATTGAATATGAATTAATATGAGAAAACCCTTACCACCCGCTAAATGCATGCAGACAGGTTTTTTTTCGACCCCGGAAGTGAAGATCAGCTGTGATTCTGAACGCATGCAACCAAACTAAACCCAAATGTATCAATTGAAATAAAACCTTAGAATAGACTAACTGGAGTCTACAAAATATAACAACATTAAATTATATCAATTAAAGATATAAAACGCAATATAGTGTCATTATAATATATTACGTATCAAATGCTACATTTTCTTGTCGTTTTGCTGCGGTCTAGTTTCAACTGTTCGTTAATCATCAACCATGGGGATCGACTGGGTTTCTCTCTTCTTCTGCTATTTCTCCGGAATTCTGCTATCCAGGGACTTTATAGGTGAGTCTGCATGTAAAGAGATGTTTTATATACCTAGCTAGCCCGTAAAAATGTTGCTAGAGTTTTAAGAAGTGTGATTTTGAGAGGCAAATCTAAAGAGGTCAGTGTTGATGGGAGGACCCTGGTTTACACACACACCTGGTGTGACGTCATAGGTGGTAAAAATAGCCCAGTGTTGTCATGATTGCACAACTTTGCTGTAACCTGTGTTCCTGACAACGTTTATAAAAATGACAAGACAACTGCCTGGCGACTCAAATATCTTTCCTTCTTTCTTCTTGAAGTAATGCCAGGAAGGAAGAAGAAGGCACACGAGGCAAGACTGAGAAGAAAAGGCTTCATACCTGTCAGACTTAAGGTGAAGAAAAAGATCGCTGTGCCCAAAGCGACACGAATGGCGTCGATTTCCCAGATGGAGTCGCTAGAAGAGGCGCAGCCGGGAAGTCTGGACGAGTTTCCGTTCCTGTCGGACCCAAAAACGATGGAGTACATCGAAGGGTCGCGTACAATGTTCATTATGAGAGGTAAGGTGCCGTTGACCTAATGTTATGCGTATGTTGTAAACCATGCAAACATGCGGTTTGTATAAGCAAACATTGGTTAAACAGTTACACCTGTTCGTTTCAAAAAATGGATTACTATTTACAAAATTTCATCAGATTATCATGTGATAAAAATTTGTTTATCATACAAAACAATGCTCTTAAACACTAAGAGAATTTAGTTGTAATCCGCAGATCTTAAATATAACGTTATAAAACAGGTGTCTTTTCAGCATTCAGTTTGTGTCTGACGACTGACGATATTGGTGTCATGTTACAAGTTTTTACATTAATATTTATATGGAAATGTTTAGGATTAAAAGCAATATCAATTTATATCATCATAGTAAGGATTGTTCCTGTTTAAGAGATGAGTGTACTTACTAGTACATGTAAATCATTGTTAAACAATGTGCATGATTTAAATCCTAGGTACATATATAGTATGGTGTCTTTTTATTGGTGTGTGATCTGTGTTCACCATAATTGATTAACCAGTTCAGGTGAATCATGCTTAAATTGAGACACTAGTCTATTAATTCTTTATCAGACACATGTACTATCTACAAGCCGAAAATGTAGCAGAAATTAGACTGAAATGGAGAAAAATTGGCCATTTCCCTTATTTGGACAATTTCTGCCATATTAAGAAGACTCTTAAGAAGATTATAGTTTATTTATACATTATAGTAATAACACTGTCATGTTTAGACATGACATCTATACATTACCGCTAAGCTTTGTTGCATAACTGTCCCAAGGGTATAGTAGGATGGCATTAGTTCAAGATTATCAGTTCAAAGCCAACATTGACAGATATGGTATTATTATTAGATGTGCATGTATGACGAAATGGATTTCGACTAGAATAATTTAGACATTCCTTTATTTTACAAAAAAAATGTATTCTTTCATCTCTGTACTAGTACGCACTAATGCAAAATTATATGCTCTTCTTTTTGCGCTTCACTTAATCTTCTACATGTAAGGTCAGAATACGTCATGGAGAGATAGCTAATGTCCTAGGTGTGGTGAGAGCTACGTCACCCGCCCATAATGTACTCGTGACCTTTTCCTGATGAGGGCTTTGTCGGCTATCTCCGCTGATGGAAAAGAGAGATAATTGTAACGAGCAAGGCTGTTCGTTTACTCAATCAGGTGCTGGTAATTACCCTGGGCGTGAAATGCCCATCTGGTAACACTGGATATGTCAACTGATTTGTTTGACTGAAGCCATTTTCCGTTGGTGATCATTACACTACAAATTATACCAACAATAGGAGCTGGATTTTAGCTGTGGTTGAAATAGGCCACAAAGGACCAGGTTGCATGCAAGGCTTATAAAACATTAATGCTAATGTTGATTGAAAGCCCACCACATTTCTTTGCTCAAAAACTGCAGAATGCAGTACAAAATATTATAACTAAAGAAAAAAATCATTCTACCCTTATTTTTTATAACATCCCCCATGTTTGCAAAGTATGACATCTGTCCTGTGTGCAAATTTGCATGTACTGTGACATTTTTACCATATTGTCAACCTTCTTGTGGTTCCTACTTAACTGTGTTAGGTTAGAATGTACCTGTAAGTTTCCATTTGTAAACCAGAAATGCTCTGAACCTACTTATGTTATAACACTTACATGTTAAGTCCTACATGGTTTTAAAGAGGTACATGTCCTGCCCATTATGAAACTGGATCAAATGTTCACCTCTATCTGAACCCAAAATATTTATAGTCACAAGTGTGTGGACATATATAGGGGAGGGATTTATTTTGTTTTCCTAACTGAAACTGTTACTCCATAACATGCAGCAGTTACATATCTATTTGCTTTTGGACACAGTTTTACATTTATCAGCTCAAAAGTTATGGATAGACTTCTTCTTGCCTTGGCCAAGGTTATATGTTGTCAATTTCATTTGACTGAATTGTAACAGATAGAGTTTGTAACAGTGTTTGTAATGGTTTTGTAATAGTGTTTGTAATTGTAGCTCTGTAACAACTTTAAAGTTATAACAGTGTTTGTAATTAATGGCTTTGTAGTAGCAGTCTGTTTCTAACAGTGTTTGTAACAGTACATGTTTGTTTGTAACAGAGTTTGTGAAAGTGTTTGAAATATAGTTTTGTAACACTAACAGCATGTGTAACAATATTTGTAAAAGTACAAAATGTATTTGTAACTGTTTTCTGGTTGAAGCAGAAGTCAAAAAGCTATGAATAGATTGTTATTGACTTAAAAACTTTGGGTTGCAATTTGAAAGCAAATACAACATCCAACTTTATTCCAAAACGACTTTGGCGTACATATAGAAATATTATCCATGAGTCAGATTGATACATTATCCACGGAAGTGTGAAATTGTCCCTGTCACGGTCTGCCATGTTAAAATCTCCCAAATGTTCCACCTGAGTGATGACCCTTGCTCCCTCCAGGTCATTCCATGCTTTTAGCAGAATTAGACCTGCCTGGTGCTGTCAGCCCTGGCCTGGGAACATGTCCATCAGGCATGACAAACCGATTAAAGTGCAGGTTGAGTGATAGGTTCTGAGTGGGCATGCAAAAACAGGATTTGGGAAATTCTCTCCAATGTCAGAATGAATCAGAATACATATCACTGGTGCAGCAGGACAGAATGTAACTATATTCACACTTTCCCAGAATACACAATGTACAAGTACATGTATATGTATTGTATACACAAGTACAAATGTATATTTTAGTTTGGCTATACATGTACTGTAACAGTATTCTGGGCTGCTTTGTAGATAAATGTACTTGTTTTTTTAAGTCTTGCCTGACTTGAAATCATTATTTGACTAGAGATCAGCAATGGGTATTACATGTATACCCTTTTAATAATGATCCAATTGCTTAATTGAATTGCGAGACCCTTTTTTTTTCAAAATCAAATTTCGATACAGAAAAGCACTTTTCAGTGAGGAAGAGAATGCAAGTTGTAACTTAAAGAATCTATAGATATACTGATGTTCAGTACTGATAATTACTGACATATTTCCCCAATTGTCTCCTTTTTTGTACACCAGGGTTGCCAGGCAGTGGGAAGTCGTCTCTGGCCAAACAGATTGCGGATGCTTACGGCAACACGGTAGTCTGCTCTGCTGATACCTTCCGCTACGTGGACGGGGTCTATGTCTTCGACAGGTAAACAAAATGTCAACAACTCACAAGGCATTTTGACAGAAGTCAAAGCAGATGGAACAGTACATCAGTCAATGGTGCCCCCTATATCCCATTGTCAAAATTGCATATGTGACAATTCCAAAGGTAGTACGTATACAGTTACAAGGAGAATAGACCTATCTTGATTGATTGACCTTCCAAGGTAAAAGTTTTGCCAATGAGAATGCAGCTATGCAGAGCTGTACATAAGGTGCATCCACCATCATGTATGTGTAAGTGTCTATGAAATGTTGGCACATATTATATTTTGACGGAGGTGCACTACACAGAATCCATTCTTTGTGCATACTTAAACCATGTGTAACCATGTATGTCACTTGCATGTCCCTTTATACAGGTTTAACGTGTGCTTAAAGATAAAATTTCGTGCATTGGTAGTTCCAAAGGGTGGCCAAGACTATGTAATTGCTCTCTTTTGATGAAAGATAAATTTGTGGTTGTAACTTGATTTTTTCCCCACAGAACAAAGCTTCAGGAGAGTCATGAGAAGTGTCGTGAGCTGGCTCGTCTGTCAGCAGACAGCAGCATCAACGTCCTCATCATCGACAACACCAACATCCGCGTCTGGGAGTTCAAGTACTACCTGGAGATCGCCAGGCGGAAACAATACACCGTGGTCCTCGTGGAGCCGCGGACGCCATGGAAATGGGACCTCCACGAACTCGCCAGAAAGAACGGCCACGACGTGCCGGAACGGAAGATCCGGGAGATGTTGGGACGGTACGAGGTCGCCATCCCGCTGTACTTCGGTTGGTTCCTGAACGGCGACGACTCGGCGAGGGTTCTGACTGTGGGAGAGCAGGTGCTGAAACAGCTGAGCGATGTACGAGAGTTTGCAGAGGAGTTCAAGTGCTACAGCGAATCAGGTACATGTACTTACAACACATTGCAAAATTAATACCTTTTCAACATGTTATGATCCATACTTGAAAAAGCAGGAGACATAGCTTGGATTGAAAGTTTATCTTTGTTGGTAGAAGTCATTCTGAATCGTGGTCGAACTGTAAGACTGGAGTTGCCAAACCAATTTTTTGTGTTTGACATCACAGTTCAACCTTGCTTCAGGAGGCAGGAGATGCTTGTTATCCCAGTAACAGTAACTGTTGGTTACATGGATGTTGATGGTTTATTACAGGGACTGGCTCCCTCGACCTGACCAAGTACTTCACTCGAGAGGCGTTCACTGGCAACAAGAACTCCATCCACTGCACGGCCATGTTCACCAAGTACGGGAAAGTCCCCGGCTCTGAGGCCTACACCACATCGGAGATGGTGGTGAATTCCTGCGGACAGGTCTTCAGGATAGAGATTGTTGGGTTCCTCATCACCCCGAGGACATTCGGTGCGAGGGTGCGACTGACTGCGTATCAGAAAAAACTCTGGGGTCAGGACGATTATGAAACAGTGAACCACCAGGGAACACCAGTCCGAGGGATGAGGTCTCGCAACATCTCGGGTGAATCTGAGGGCTGGGATGGAGGGCTACCTTCCTCCCCAAGCCTGTCCAATAGGTTTGCTCAGCTGGGTATTGAGGAAGAGGAGATATTTGACGAGGGTGCTGCAGACAATCTTGCCAACACTGCCACAGAACACGAATCTGAGGACACTGAACGTGATTATAAGTTCTGTCCAACGTGGGGCTTCGGGAGACGAGCCCACATCACCCTGGGGTGTGCCCCAGGGATCCCCCCTGTACAGACTGGACTTGACCTTATAGAGGTCATTTCAACAGAGGCCATGACCTCCGACCTCTCAGGTGTAGAGAGCACTCATGAGAGTGCGGCCTCTGACCTGGAGAGCGTGACCTCTGAACTGTCTCTGATCTCTGACCCCGGGAGCTTCTCAATCAAAAAGGGTGAAGCTCGTTGCTATGGGGATGGCAGATGGGTTGTTTACCTGGATAAGTCCATTCACGTGGATGCAATGTTTTCAGGCTTCTATTAAGGAGAGGTTTTATTCTATACTGTCAATTAATTTCAAAGAGTCTGCTCCAAGTTGCAAGATGTTTAATCTGAAAACTTAGGGATATCCTTTAGATAATATTAAGCAATCTACAGGAAACTTTAATGCAGTAATTAAACACTTCTCTTACATAAGCAACCCCTCCCCCTTCTATATATGCAGTTTCTTCTTTTAGTGTGTGACTGGCTTTGCTTATCCTCTTGGCATTTTTAACTGTTAGTCAGCAACAGTCAAATATTCTTCTCTGTGTACTAGTGTACAATGTACTAAATGCAGAATTCATATGTAACACCTTAACAATTCAGGAGAGGGAGGGAGGCAATACTTGTAACAAGCCAAAGCTGGTAGTAGCAGTAAGAGGCATAATTATAAGGACTCCACTAATAAAGTTGCTAAGTGATTGAAAGTTAATTATACTAAGATGCTTTGAGCCAATGGGAACTAAGGAGTGTGGCAGCTAGGGGTTTTCCACGCATTTGTAAATCTACTGTTACCATGCCAGATTTGAAATGTAAAACACGAGAGAAATTAACCTAGAAATATTATATATACTATATCTGTATATTAATGTAGAATGTAGCTGCAGGACAGTTTTGTACTGTGAATGCAAAATTTTTTCCATGATGTAGAAAATGAAATTCATTTTCTTGGTTCTCAGATTTTTTTGCAGGAAAAGAATAAATAGGGTGGGAAGAAATATGAATCATAAGGAACAGGCAATTCCAGTAGCTACAAAAAAGAACATACCAGATTGGTTCACATTTCAAACAAGCATTGAGAAAAAGAAAAGGAAAAACAAATAGAAAAAGGGCTCTCTTCAAACTTTTGGTGCCAAAATATGAGCATTTTGGGGTTAACTCATAGTGTGACCTTTTTTTTTCAGGGAAGTGTTAAATCTGAGGACCAAGAATTCTATAGCCTTAGCAGCCAATGTACAAATGTATAAAGCCATACAATGCTTAACAACTAACAGAAATAACTTTTAATATGCTAACAATACTGACATTTTTGTGTGTTGATGATGATGAATTTTGTCCTCTAGAACTTAGTGTATTGTAGATTCATGCCCTTCAATCATAATATCCTTTCTCTCTCCATCTGTGTCCCCATTCTTTCTTTCCTTTATTCACTCATTCCATACGTGATGTTGCATAATGATTCCATTTTTCCCCATGACAATCAGTTCATGAATATTCATGTTTATGTTGCCATTTGCTGCTTTTATTGTTTCCATATTTTATTGTACTATGATGTGTACAATCACTGTTATACTTAAAAGGCACAAAGTGTAACAAGTCAAATGTAACTTTGGAATGGCAGTACAATTGTTTACTTCTCAAATATTTTTTTTTGTATATAATTTTGTATAAAATATTGTGTCCTTTACATTCAGACATAGTGAATTCTTTCAAAGTTGCACATGAAAAGCCATGTTTTGTAAGGTTTGTCATTTGAAGATTTTTTTATTCTTCACTGTCAAAGTTATTATATATGCTGCAATTGTTACTAGTGTGACTGAGAATTTTCAAATGTTGCAGTGTATCTTTTGTTTGCATTTGAACAGTATTCCACTTGAATTTGAACCTACCTTATGCTTTAAGTGGATCATTGAATATGACATAAATCAAGTGAAAAGTGAGGAAATATGTGTTATATGCATGAAGAAATATGAGATTCTGTATATAATTTTCCTTAATGTTGTGAATGTTTATGAAAACAGAAATTGTTTTATTCTAGTTGCCTGTTGCTTTTTAAGTGGCTGCTAACAATTCAGGGTTAACGTTAATGGTTCTTTTATTGTTTGCTGATTTGCAAAGTTTTCTGTTTGAGATTTGAAGAGTGTTGAGTTTGATTTGGAAAAATCAAGGAATACTTAAGGCTGAAGGTTGCCAAAGTTGATATTTTGTGTGTTGAGAAGGGGTTTATGAATAAAATTACAAATATTGCATACTGTTCCCTCATGAATATTGTTTTCTTTTTGTTTCACCAAAAATTGTAAATAACACTAGAGAAATTATGTTCTTTTGGTATGAGGCTATGATATAACGTTACTACCCAATGTGGACCTGCATAATTTTGTCATGTTTCATCAGCTTAAACAATATTTATACCAGGATAGAATGTAATCTGACAGGTTTTAATCGACTTTTCTTCCTCACCGCATGCCAAGCTATATAAAGTCCTTGGTGCCAGCCAAAGCAAAATTAGTCTGGGTTTGGAATATGCAAGTCATCCTAAGGGTTTTACATGTAAAGTGGAAAAACAATATCCCCTCACTGTTAGTTGACTGTTAGTCGATGTCTGCATTTGCTAAAAACCAAATATACAAAATATTTGGTTTTTACCCTTCATATCTTTAGGAATAAATTTGTTAAGCAACAAATTGAAATCTTAAGAAAATTATCAACTTTGAGAGTAAAAATCTTTAGTTTTTCTTTGCAATAATTTCTCTCTTGAAATTGCCATAAGATTAAATGACAAAATTGAGAAACAATGAAACCTTGCCTATAGTGTAGACAGTAAAAAACAAAATGGTATATTGCTTCTTGGTAACTAATTTGTCTTTCAGCAAGGTCAGATCACTTGGCAGTACATGATGAATCATAAATGATTACCTGGAATTTTTACACAAAAATTTCTTTGATGGCCTTTGAATTCCGGTCTCTGAAGTGATCAAGGACGCAACCGGTCTTGAAGCTATGAGTCTTCTGTTCAGTCATGTTTTCTCTCCTTTTTGATTTTACAGTCAAAGTACATGTACCATACATTCTTGGCATGTTTAGACCAGTAATAGACATGTTGTACAGTACTGTACTAGCCTCGCCAAGTATTGTTTTATGTTGGCTACCATTGAAAAAAAGGGCATAGTATAAAAATAACATTTTAACATAACATATAGTTTGTCAATTACCATCTATGCATGCTAAAACTTTGAAAGCTGCAACTTTTTTATTGGATTTTTCCCTCTAATTTTTTTCAGATAAAAAAGACAGACAGTTGAAAATCCTAGTTTTCCATGCAGTGGTAACAGCCCGGTAATGTTGACTTGCCAGTTTATTTTCTTATCTTTAATATTTCTTTCTTCCACATAGTAGATTCCTTTCAAACATCCAGAACTAAGAAACTAATTTAGTATGGCCTTTTAATCTTCAAGCAGATGTGACATCAAACATAACAAGTTTTCTTTGAACTTTATTCATGCTTGGAGATCAAACATTTCTATAATTTTTAACCGTCTTCCCAATTATTTTTCATTGTCTTTTTCACGTTCCCACCAAAAAAATCAATATATTTTCCCACTATCTGTTTCCTGGCATCCTGCTCTCCCCACAAAATCAAAGTCGACTCGCCCGAGGGGTTATATGAGGTCAAATCCGCGGCTCGCGTAGGACGACGTTTTGGGGACTCGGAGCGGATAAACTCGACAGGTTTTTACGTTAAAAATCACCCGGGGTCAGGTTTTAAGTGAGTCAGAGGACGTCTAGAATAGTCTCTCGGAGTTTCTGACCAAAAGTCAACCGCCATGTGGCCGAACTGACCGCAGTTTTGACATTTGAAGGGACTTCCGCCTTAGCGAAGTTGAGCGTACTGCTGTTCCAAAATGGCGGAGTCTGCCAACATCAAACTGGTTGATCGAGTCAAGAGAAAACTTCGCTTCACCAACCGGCGGAAAGACCACAACATACGACAGCTCGACACCGAGACAGCCAAGACCTACGTCGCACGGTACAGAAGCACGACTTCCAACACCTACATAGAAGAAACACCCGTACAAAATGGGGAGGACTCAACAACTAACCTCACCTCGCCAGGAAAAAGCGAAAGTGTTTTGAGGGCCCCTCCCATCAAGGAGACAGAGAAAGGATTGGCTACCTTAAAGATTGGTGAGTCAAATGACGATTCTTCGACCAATACGAGGTCTACCCCATCTACATGTACCCATATGAATGGTAATGTTAAACAAAAAGACATTGTTGATTCTCCCAGTGAAAAGGCCAATGAGATTGCGATAATTGGTCTAGGTCAGACCAAAACTGTTCCATATGAACATCCTAGGCTTAGCAGGGCAGTCATTCCCAGTGAGTCGCCGTGCACTGACGTTGAATCGTACTTGGTTGATAGCCAAGATCACGGGAATCGCGTCAGCAACGGCATGTTGGCGGGTGCTAAGATAAGGCCGGATGGGATGAACACAGCGCAGGAAGTGCTGATATCAGAGGCCAGGGATGGAGCACAGCAAGCTTCTTGTCTACCCTGTCAGGAACACACGCCTGGAACAAACAACAGAAACGTCATGCCTAATGGTGACATGACAGGAGTAGGTCTGCCAGGAAAGACTGAAACAATGTCAGAGCAAAGTGCCCGGGAACGTCGCGTATCTGATACAACGTGTAACCAAGATGGACAGAAACTTCAAGAAGTACGTGGCAGAAAAACAAGCGTAACTGACGTCATGCCACCTAAGGTAGATGATAGAAATGCAAATGCTGCATTCCGTTGTAGGACAGAACCTTTGAAAAACGTCAGCAAAGCTGGCGCAGCAGAGAGTGTATTTACTGCCGGGAACAGGAAAGATAGCCTGTCGGATATGGAGTCCATATCCAGCGAAGCTGACACAAGCAGCGCAAAGGAAGCCGAAATCCAACAAGAGAGTGAAACTGTGAGGGAGGAACAGGTACAGGTGAAACAGCCGGTGTCACCGTGTATGCCCGTACAAGTTGACGAGGGCTACAGATCTGACTGTTCGCCAACCATGACAGCAAAACAGTGTTGTGAGAGTAAAGACGTTGAAAACAACCCTCCTGCAAATGTTGCATGTGTGTGCGGGTCTACTGGGAATCAGCACCAAGGACAGGTACAATCTAATGGACGTAAATGTCCCAATCCTCCATCAGGAGAATTCCCCAATGCTGCTACGACAGAAAATTCCGCTTCAAAACAAGCAGGTTCTAAAACATTTCATTCCGCAGACTCCAACTGTCAGCCTTCTGAAGCAAGGTTGAACTCCCAGGAGAACACATCACCAGAACATCCCAAGTGTGAAGCGGTGCCCCCTTGTGCCACTAATGGAACTGCATCACCGGGCGCTGACTCCGCAAACGGACCAAAAATTGATCTTGGTGCCAGACCGAAAGAAAGAAAGCAAGGCGACAGTGACAAGACGAAATCTCCGTCTTTGAAACGTAGGGGTATTTCTGATGCACATGTCTGTATATCGCGCCGTTATAACGATGATGGCAGTCCCCCGCCACTTCCACCCAGAGATCCCAGTCTTTTCCACAAGCTGTTGAAGTCCCGAGGGCCCGCTGTGGCGGATGTAGATGAGGAAGATGAATTTCCCACACACGAGTTTCTACCTGAGATGGACCACCCTCCCGTTTTCGACGAAGCGGCCCTCAACTTGGTGGAGAGGGATACGTATGAACGTGATTTGCTGACCAACACCGTGAAACATACGCGCTCTCTCGAGTTTGTTGCAGAGGGAGGAAAAATCAACAGAGATTCCAAGGTGCTTGTTGGTGGAAAAAGGCGGGAAAGTTGTGGCGATAACTCAGCTGTGAACGGAGCAGGCACAAACCACCAAGCGTCTGCATCAAGCCCAAACTCACTCAAGCCTCCGCCCCAATCTCTTAGTCAACCACAAGCTGCGAATGGCCGTCCAGGTGACTACCACGATATAATTCTTCCGTCGCAAGGTGGCAGATCTAGACCCACCAGTTTGTATCAGAACGGTACCGGCGGAGGTGGAAACTACGCGCAGACAGGGAGCTATGCTGCGAAAAAGCCACCAGAGTCACCCGGGCCCGACAAATCGCCAAGGTCTCCCACCAAGTCGCCCAAATTCTTCCGAAGGGATCACGAAGACAGCAAAAACCAGGAAGCCAACTTCAAGAAAAGGATGTCGGTGTGGCTGGAAACGTGCAAGAAGAACTTAGACCCCAGGAAACGACACTCCGCGAGTGACCTGAAGTTGGCAAACCGCCCGCTGCCAGACCTACCTCCGGTAGAAGCCATGAAACCCCCGCCAAATCCCACTGTGTAAGTAGTCTTCACTTCTTTCCATTCAGATTTTGGTTGAATCATTATTTAAACACTTGATAATGAATGATAGTAGAAAACACGCAATTAAACTGCACTAACTTGCACTAACTTGTAGCCATTCTTTTCATACCAATAACACATCATTTTCTTTGCCTCATGATATTGTATCTTTATATGTATTATGATATGTTGTACTGTTACAATGTACATTGTACAATAATAATACAGAGATTTTGAGTATGTGTAGGTTCATGTGATTGTGGAGTCAAAGTCAAATTTACAGTCCATGCATAAAATAAATAATGGTTCTGGGCAAATATTATCCGAACTGTGACTTCCATGTAAGGTTTCGTTTATAATATTGGCCTTTTATGGCAAAAATTTAAGTCCGATTCAAATCAGCCATATTTTTCATAAATTGTCAAGATGCATTTTCCCCATAGATGTTATACTTTGACTTGTTTGTTCTCTTAACAAATAACAATCTAACTGTCCTAACTTTCAATTCAGCTGCCAACAAAATCTACACAACAAATTACAACGTACAGTGAAATTCTTCTCCCTGATAAAGGATTGACACAAATGTTAAATTACTGTCCATCCTAGATTGTAAACAAGTAAAAAATATGTATAAATTGCCTGGAGCAGTTAAAGCACTAGTGAGTGTGAAAGATTAATGTTACATGCAGACAAATCTCATTATGTGCTCGCTGAACTGACCTTTCTGGCATACGTATGATGTAATCATTCACCAAAATGTAATTATATTCTAGAGTGTTTTTCCTTTAGAATTGTGATTTTGCAGATTGCAATTTTTCACTTCAAACAATCAAAGGCATGAACAGTAATACTGCATTTTCAAAATGATGACATTTCACCCATGTCACCTGCAATATTATAGGTATAAGTGTGTAGCAGTTCTAGCTGTATATTTATTTGCTGCAACAGGGCTCAAAATTGCATATTCAAGCCTTCAAAGATTTGCATTTCATGAGTCTTTATATCATTGTCTCATGAAATTTGGAGATGATTTTTTTGAGCATTAAAACTAATAAAAGTAGATAACTTTTTTGAGCATTAAAAGAATTATAGATGAGCATGAAAATAATTATAGACTTTAACAGTGTTCATAAGTCACAAAGCTACATTGTATGTATGGTTAGATGATACTAAAATGATTACTATCAATAGTAATACCAACCTGAGAGCCCACACATTTTGTAATAATAAGGCAGGAAGAGCAGATTTAAGAGAGCATTTTACCAAGTAAAGAAATTCTGTGCCATATCACAGGCAACAAGTACATGTAGTACAATATTTTGAACTTTTCTGGATGTAAACAAAATGTCAACACTATGTTGTGCCATGGCATCCACCAGACTAATCAATAATAATTTTTCTTTTTTCATTTCCTGTTATGGGCGTAGTCAAGGGCTTAGAGAGAATCTAATATTTTGTACAGTTACATGTGACATTTCACTGTCATTTTCTATCTCTAAACATATACAGAAGAGTCTCATTTGAGATTGTTATTTAACATGTTGAATTGGATTGATTTGATTATGTTAGACCTATATGTGTGTACATGTGTATATATAGTGTTGTTGAATATGCACAACTTGAAATGAAACTGTTTTGACTGTGCTGTATCTGTCTTTGCCCCTTTTCCCCACACAGGTGATTACGTGCCCTTTTGCAACTTTGAAAGAATCCTGACGAGTGTCACGTGTCTGATCATGATGACTAATGAATTTAGAGAAGACCTCAAACCTCTCTCTCTCTGTTTTATGTCTCTGATAGAAAAGGACAGTTTTAAAAGAAGCTACAAGAGGGCCGAACAACAGCTTTTTTAATCAGAAAAACATTTTATGATTTAGATTTGTTTTTTGTCCCTTTTTTTTACCCAGTTTGCCAGGCTTGAGGGAAAACCCACCTGAGGTGGACCCCTTACCCGAGAATAGTGTCTTCCTCAGGAACAAGCCAAAGTATGGGAAAGCAGCAAGTACAACAGGTAAGGGTGATACCATAGTAGAAACATGGGGGTGCAAATGTTACTGTAACTATTTTTCTCAAAGTTGATTTGTGAGTTAATGTACATTGTGGTGCTAACAATTTACATTACGTTATAGTTTTGTGAGATTGAAATTCTCAAAGTCCTTATGTGGATGCAAGTTTTAGTTGCACAATTTTTTTAGTTACTCAGGAGAGGTTGAATTCAGAAGGGAGAGATACAAAGAAACATGACTCTATTTGAGTGGTAATGGCCGTAACCACAGAGTCAACATGTACAAAGTGTGGTTCTGAGGTCAGATTTGGCATGGCTAGGACAAGAGACAATAGCGTATGTTGTTGCCAACTTCCCAAGCTATTTTTGGACATTTTTGTCCAGGATTAGCTTTTGTTGTCTGACACACAGACAGAAATAGAAGATTCAGAATGTTGATTTACATTGTACAATGGTGCCTGAACATTGTGATTGAGTAGTATTGTTGTTATTATTTATGCTTGAGCTACATTTCGTTTGCACATGCTTGATTGATGCATGATTATTCTTTCTGTGGGTGTTTGTTTTGACATTGTACTAGGTAGGATTGAAGCAAGCCATATTGGTCTGGTCTTTTACGTTTTAGGAGACCGACACCTTGAACACATTTAGGAACTTCACTTCTTAGAAGTCTGCCCAATGCAAACCAATTTGTTACACAGCTACTACTTATCAACTTAAAGTACAGAAAGATTCTGCTAGACCTTTTGATTGATAGCCGATTATGAAGTTCAAAGTCAGAAGATGTATTACATCTACAAGTAAAATTAACATCAGTAGTACTGTGATTATTTTTTGGCAACTGAAATTTCTACTTTTTACTACCTGCTAGGTGAGAAGGAAGACTTGCCTCCTGTTGAAGGAAGTCCACGGGAATTTGCCAAAAGTTTGAAGGAACTAGAAAAGGTAACTATATAAATTGATGGTACATGCAATGGCTACTCCAACTGCCTATTGTTTATGCACAATGTTAAAACTGTCAGACTGGGTGTATATTTTATCTAATAATGTGTTTTCCAACAATTCATATATATTCTAGGTTACCTGTCATAAACAATACTACTAGTATACTAAGATATACAATAGGATGGTTGTAACTGTATGCAGGAATTTCTGACATAGACCTCTCCATTGCATTTCACATACATGCTTGCTCGCTGTGCACTACCTGCCTGCTATGCTTATATGCTTGCTGTGATTACCTGCTTGCTGTGCTTACCTGCTTCTGCTGTACAGGTATTCCCCTCCACCTAAACCATCAAGGTTGACCAGAAGTTCTTGCCCAACTACAGCACTTTGTCTGTTACTCTTGAAGCTCAGTGTAACCAGTGCATGCATGTATACAGGTAGTGATGCATACCGGTTCACTGGACTTGGATCCGGACTTGTAAGAATGTTTAGGTTCAAGTCCAAAAAAACCTAAAAGTCAAGAACCGAGTCCGGACTTATTACCATAAAAGACCATTTCACATACCACTTTTCTTTCTAAACCACCTAAAACCTTCCGTAGATTGTAAAATCTTTGCTGCAAAATGAAGAAAACATTGCCATCGAGCATTGTCAAGTGTCGGCCTCCATGTTATGTGGCCAAAGTTTCACCAAGACAACATTGCAAGGTTGCCAACATTCAATTCATTCATTTTGTATATGCCATGGGTTTAGGTCCGGACTTACAAGTCCGGAACTGAACCTAAACCTCTGGACTTGAATCCGGACCTGAACCTAAAATTGGGTTTAGGTATGCATCACTATATACAGGTATCTTTTGGTTACTCGAACCAAACTTGACCACTGTTAGTCCGTTACGAAGGCTCTCTTATAGACAAACTGGATCAGACTTGATGAATACATGTGTGCGATGTGATTTTGCAGTGTGGCTGGTACTGGGGCCCTATGAACTGGGACGACGCAGAAACAAAACTTGCCGGGAAGCCAGACGGGTCCTTCCTGGTTCGCGACAGTTCGGACGACCGCTACATTTTGAGCCTGAGTTTCAGGGCGCGCGGTGGAACGCACCATACCAGGATAGAACACAGCAAAGGTCTGGTCTTGTTTGTTTGTTAGAAGGTTATCTTTTTTGTCCCTATGATATTAGGAGCAGACAGAAACTACGGAGGATGGCACACAGGCTACTTTACACTCATGCCACCCAAACAGCTATAAATGATACCTTATGTTTACCACAGTGCAATTCAGGCATCCAGTAAGGTTGCCTGTTGGTCTGGTGTCTGTGTACTGTATATAGTGTACAGTATATACTGTATTAGTTGTGAATAAACCATTCGTAGTATTCCCATCAGCTTTTTAAAAAAACATTTCTTGTTAAGAATGTTTACTTAGTGTAATGTATAGCCAACAGCTTTGCCAACAGCAAAACTAGCTACTCATTTTGGAACAATTTGTTTGATTCACAGGTGTGTTCAGCTTCTGGTCTCAGCCCAAGTCCCACGGCTGTTCGCCATCCATCGTTGAGTTTATAGAGACCGCCATGCTGCACTCCAACACGGGGAAGTTCCAGTACTACCTGCGAGCGCGAGCCCTGGGCTCCCCTCCGGTTCCCGTCCTCCTGCTCAAACCCATCTCTCGCTTCGAGAACCTGAAGACCCTACAGCACATCTGTAGGTTCATCATCCGTAAACAGGTCCGTATTGACCATATCGACCTGTTACCGCTACCCAAGGGGTTGAAACAGTACCTGACGGACTGTCAGTACTATGATATCGACGAGGAAACCTTCTTTGATGAACGGAAGAAGAAAGAAGAAGAAAAAAATGAGGATGATGATGAAGATGATGAAGATGATGATGCAGAGAGAGTTGGACTGTACTAACCAGAGAATGGGGAAGGGGGGAATTATTCCTGACTTGGTACACTCCATGTTGGGGAGTAGTTCATGGTATAACAATTGTAAAGGTTTGTAAAGTATAATTTTGCTTGCTGTACATGTAGATGAAAGAAGCTATCCATAGTTGAAACTTACTGTATGATAAGTAAGAAAAAGGTCCACTTGTTGCATACTGTTATGTGTTGATATTATGTTTATGCTTTTTATAAAATGATGAGTAATGAATTCTATGAATGCTGAGAATAGAAATGTTAGCCTTTTGTTGTTTTTGCTGAGGAAATTCTACAAACAAAACTAATAAACAATTCTTACAGAAACTAAATTTACAACTTTCAAAATTAACTATTACCTGAATATACCTGTATATGTTAATATGATATATATGTATATACATCTATCTTTATGAATACGTAAGCCAAGCAATGTACACCCTTTCTAAAAGTAGCAAAAGTATTTGTTGTCAATCTATTATGTAATACTTTTGCCAGAATATGCTTGATCACTATTGGTTTGTATGATTTGGTGACTGGTGTATTTTTTGCTGTTTTGCATGTAACAACATAATTAGAATGTTGAAGTTATTCTAGATTGTATTAAGTCTTATATAATATGTTTACATTAAAATGTCTTGACTGTAATATGTATTTTGGGTAAAACCCTATCAAATTAAGACTACGTAGGAAAATAGCATTATTTTATTACAAGAGGCGTAAATGATACAAGCCTATTATTGCATAACTGCTAAGATGTTCTTTGACTCAAGGTGCTAGCTTCTTAAATTTAAATTCAAATTCAAAGTAACGAATCTGTTACTAAAAGTGCCTGAAAACTGTTCATTGCATACTGCATACATTCTGGAATATTCCCAGGGGTTACAAAAATGTCCATGTTATATGTGGTGACCTCTCCACCGCAAAATTACACAACAAGTCTTTCGGTGTTACATAGCCAGCTGCCGCTGCGCCGCATGCCTGCAAAGCTGGTGTGTTATGCTGAGGGGTGGTTATACCTGCTTTACAGAATGATACAGATACAGATACACAGCGAACAGAACCGATTTTCTGCCAGCAATACAATTTAAACACCGCGAATATATGCCTTTTGCAACGCTAACTATATGAAATAAAATTAAGATTTAAGTTAATCATTGGAAAAAAATAAAATCTTCCCCATATAGGGTATAGGACAAGGAAGAATGGTCCAAATCAAATGTATGATGAATTAATCATTGAAATTTCATGTAGGACAAAGCAGAATCAAGTACCATTTATATTATTGTAATTTTACACGTTTGCAAAATATGATAGCATTTTAAAGTTTATGATAATTATGCTTAACATGGGAGCTGCTTAGTGATTCTAAAATAGCATTTCATGAAGGCTTTTATTTTTGTGTAACATTCTAGAATTCTGTGTTTGATTGGTCCACTTTTTTATTTGGAAAATGTTTCCATTGATTTTCCTATACAATGTAGTGTGCAATTTCAAAGCCATTCATTGGTCTACCAATGGTTCAAAACATCGGCAACCCTACAATTTTTTTTTCTTTCATGTTCAAATTTTTAAAAAATTTATACCAGGTATAAAACATGCCTTCCCAAGTTTATGTTTTTTTTTGTAAACTTTAAAAATATTTGGTGTATATATGTTAAAACATTTAATTATATACATTAATTTATAACTCAACTTATGATAAGTTTAAAAATCATTCCAAAATATTTACAGATCAAAATAAATATAGAAGTTGTCACCACTTTTCAAGTAGTTTACTGAATAGTTTATTGAATTTTATATTTTCTATGAAATTGTTGAGGTATAACTTTTAACCTTTGTTTCAGTGTGTATCACATAGAGATTGATTTAGTTGCTTTTTTTTCATTATGACATATTTCTGTGAAAGCTTAAATGTATTTATAAAAAGAAAGTAGTTTTTGTGGTGGCCAAAATTAATTAGTGATGTTGACAGAATGGGTCTTTACTGGTAAAGAAGGGATACGTAATAAAGCAATTATGATTGTTCCAAGCGACCAATCATGTCGTCTGTTATTTTTGTTAAATCAACTCTAATTGGTGTAGAAAACGGGGCTTACGACACCTGGAAGGTACTAATTAGCAGTTCCGCCAACTCCGCTGTTGCTGTGCAATGGGATTGAATGGGATTTGAACCCATAACTTGCAATCCATGGGTGCACATGCATCGGAGTGATACATGTAGCGACTAGAATATTCGTTGTTTGACAAAAGCAAGACAACTGATACACTTATCATACAGGCAAGTTAATGTTCTTTTTATTTTCAAATATTCAGATAATTGGCATCCAAAGTCAATATCAATTACTACTTTGCAAATCTGTCTTGGTCTAATTTTAACAGTCATATTCTATCCCATTCAATAAGGAAGGCTTCAGAAACT